AGCCTCCCATTTTCATACTTGACTTCCTCTCTCTTAAACTCTTATTTTTGCACATAGCTTCAGTTGTGGGATGAAAAGGGAGGTCAAAAAGTGAGACTGAGTGGCAGATGGAAAGGAAATGGATGGGTGAGAAAGAAAGAAGCTATAAAGGACAATGAAGTCGGGGAGAGGGTGTAACGAGTGGTACTAGAGTAAGAAAAGAGATGGACAGAGATATATAGAACAGTAGATCCTGGCTTACTGACAGCCTTATTGGCCGTTAAGTCTCATCTTCATTTTTCTCATGTTATCGTCCCACTCTCCTGTCCTCACAATCGCTCTAGCTCTTCGTGCTTTGAGTCTTTTCTTGTCCTTTCTCTTGTGTTTTCTTCTTTCTTCTTTTTCTCTTCCATCTGCAGTTGTCACATTAATCAGATCCCTCAGTCACATTTCCTCAAGCTTCACGCACTTCATTTACTCAATGCATTCACATAATGAATGGAGCAATCACAGTGCAATCAAGTGCAAGCAACCTCGCTTATTGTTTAACAAGAGACTGCATGCATTTGCTTGTTCTGCAATCCAGATACGACAGTGTTATTATTGCTGTATTCCCCCGAATCTGTAGTTTCAGGAGATGGCCGTATTAATTTTTAAGAGGTTGGCTTTTAAAGGGCAGGTATTTTTCCAGAAGAAACCTGGGCATATAAAAAGCTGTAGCAAAACTTTAACACAGGACAGTGAGGGGAGTTTTTGTTTGTTTGTTTTAAATATAAATTTTATTTTAAGATGAGATTCTGCAGTTTTTTCGTGTCACAGAAAACGTCGCTGCAGAAGAAAACAACTTCTTTTAGAAAATAAAAAATTACCAGTTTTTACGCCATGAGTGTTTTGATTTAGCCTTAAAGAGCAATGAAAAATATGTATGTAGGTAAAATGAATGACACTCAGTATACTTTAAAATACTTTATCAAATACTTTTTAAAATAATTTGTGATCCTACTAATACTTTCTGATACAATTTTCTGGGTGACGGTAGTTTTATAGTCCATTTTTATGGGTGCAAGACTGAACACTTTGCCAAAGAGATGCAGAAACACATTTTCACTGTCAAATGAAAGAGATTACATCTGACTTGAGACCAGCATCTATGAGGTGCATATGCCTGATGGATCCCTCTGCATACTGATAAACAGACCAGTTTTCTAAGGCGTGCATGCCCTATTTACACAGAAAGGGGCCAGACAGCTTTTATTTATTTATTTATTTTACATAAAACTGCTAGTATGCTGGAATCAGTCTAGCATCAGCACTGATTTTGCCTGTACCAGCTGGTGTTTGCGTAGTCATTTTTTCCTTACATAGTGCTCTTTAGTCTTTAGACCTAAACTTACCCATTTTACCCATAGCCTGTGAAAAACCTCCAGGGGCCCGTTCTTCGTACCTCGCTAAGTAGGTTAGCTGGATTAGATTGTTGACGATTTCGCGTGATCCTGGATCAGTCGGTTCCCCGAAGCTCATCCGGGACTTGCTGTCATAGCAACAGAGCCGTAAGCGTAAACCTGCTCGGGAGCAGGTTTACTTTATGTAAACAGGATTAGATCGTGGCCACGCAGGTATGTCCGCTTCATTTATACGAAAGCAACAGCGATATTCCACCACTGTTTCACCATAAATAAATAACATCAATGTAACTAAAGACAATGCAGCACCTGATCCATTTATTGATTTCACACAGGTCATTTCCTAAAAAAGGGAAATGTACTATTAACATTCTATTACATGTATGTGATTATTACAGATGTAATTCATATTTCAGAGTAGCAATTGTAAATTACTTCGTGTAATCAAGATGAGAGACCACGGCTATAAAAGCGAAGGTGGATTTGGGAAGCCTGTCGCAGCCATGTCCTGTCCGTATACGCGAGCCACCCATTGCGGAAGGTGCAAGATTGATAAGGAGAGTCCTCAGAATCCAGCGTATATTGCGGGACAGACAGGATCCTTTAGCTCAGCGCGACAGTGTGCTCATAGAGAGATATCGATTTTCCCGTGAGGGTATTATTCACTTAACCAACTTGTTGACGAGGGGGTGCAGGACCACCACCTGTCTTTTTTTCCTCTGCCCTTTTCTTGGTTGCTGTTATAAACAAACAGATTATTTCAGGGTCTCTTTCCAAGAGACTAAAAGCAATATAAGTGATAAATATTACCATTCTGTAGGATATTCTTATATTTCACTTTTACCTATTCCCATGTTCTAGTGGGTCCTGTCGTGGCTCTAATGTGAAAGAGGATAAAATATAACATATTATAATATAATGTAATGTAATATAATATTGGATAATATAGTGTAATATAATAAATCTACCCTACCGCCTACTGGTGTTGGCCAGAGGGGCCGATGGCGCGATATGGCAGCCTCGCTTCTGTCAGTCTGCCCCAGGGCAGCTGTGGCTACAACCGTAGCTGCTTCCACCAGTGTGTGAATGTGAGAGTGACTGAATAGTGGCATTGTAAAGCGCTTTGGGTGCCTTGAAAAGCGCTATATAAATCCAATATATTATTATTATTATTATTAAATTACTTACGAGTTTGATTTGTCAGCAACTTTCTGCCAGCCCTCGCTCCTTGCTTTTGCAGCCTTTGCAGTGTTCCCTTGCGTTCTGATTAAACTCTGAAACTCCTGAAATCCCTCACTCAGGAGTTCTTGCTCTGCTGCCGAAAAATACCGAGCCGAGCGCACTCCTTCGACATTTTCGCCGACCAATCAGAGGGTTGCCGATCAATGTTTCTACTATCGATGCGTAGCCCCTTTTACTACACCCAGTGATGTCACATTACTGCGTCCAGCTGTAGTAATCGTCAACAGCAGGTGTGTTCGGGGAACCGGATTAGCGAGCTCACGGTTAGCGCGATGATTTGATCTTGGATGTGTCATTTGATCTTGGATGTGTCATTTGATCTTGGATGTAGTAAGCGACGTACGAAGAACGGGCCCCAGTTTCACAGGACTTGTGATGCAATCCCAAACAAGAGCTTACTATTTTGTCTTAAACCGTGACTCACAGCCCTCACAGCGGTGTACAAGCACCTTCTCATTCATTCATGGGTATCAAATTGTGCCACTTTTATCAAAGCTGTTGGTGTCATGTGTTGTATGGTGTGGGTGAGTGACGCACTCTGGAACAAGGGTTATGGAGCAGACATCGCACTCCTAAATCATCACATGCTCAAAGTCGTAAAGTATCTGTTGGCATCACATTCAAAGGCACGGAGGAAGTGTGTGAAATCATACCAGAATGTAACCAGACAGTTGCATCACTCATGAAAGGAAACCTGTTAGGTATCTTTAGCAGGCAAGTTCACATATTCAATAGAATTAAATTTTATTTATAGAGTGCCAAATTATGAGAAAGGTATAGACATTACAATAATACAGAGAAAGCCCCAACAATCAGATGTCCCCATGTGGGCAAGCACTTGGCAACAGTGGGAAGGAAAAACTCCCTTTTAACAGGAACCAACCAACCAGGCTCAGGAAGGGGCGGCTGTCTGCCCTGGCCGGTTGGATGTGAGGGGAAGGAGACAGGATAAAAGACTCTGGAAGAGCGACAAAGATTAAATATTAACCAGTGATTAAATAAATATACACTAAAAGTGTATATTTATTATATTTATTTTCTTACTCTTCTTATTTATTTATTTTTGTTTGTTTTTTTGTACTGATGTAACTGGAGCACGTCGTCTCATCTCTCTATATACTGTACTGCAGTGGTCCCCAACCCCCGGCACATGGACCGGTACTGGTCTGTGAGTCGTTTGGTACCGGGATGCAAGAGTTGAGGCTCGGGTGTGAAATGAATGGTTTTCAGGGTTTTTATCGTTATTTTTTTTAGTTTTTTTTAGTTTTTATCATTAACTCGGTTTCCCTGGGTCTTTTCCCATGTGTTATGAATAAATCTTTTTTTTGAACATCGTTTTATTTTGTTGTATTTATCCGCGACACCTTAAAGGCCGGTCCATGAAAATATTGTCGGGCATAAACCGGTCCATGGTGCAAAAAAGTTTGGGGACTGCTGCTGTACTGTATATAGTGGAGATGACAATAAAGTTTACTTTAACTTTGACTCTAAATTCAGAGTAGTGTGTAAGGACAGAGTGAAAAGATGCGAGTGAAGAAGAAATGCTCAGTGCATCATGGGAAGCACCCAGGTGCCTTAGTCTGTTGTAGAGTAACTAATGCAGGATTCAAGCTCACCTGATGCAACCAGACCTGTATGCTTCATGAAAAAGGACATTTTTAAGTCCAATATTAAAAGTAGAGAGGGTTACTGTTCAGGTCTCTATTTTTGGACTTACAGAATCTGCTTATTCGGGTTTTTAGGTCTTCAGATTTCCTCCTAATATTTAGGTTTACATAGTGGCCTACACAGTGAAGAGTGACTTTTAAGTACCGTTAGTTGGCAAATGAATCAAACAGTCTAGCACTCATAAATACTTGGGAAAATGCTGGATCAATTGGGAACCAGAGTGGGCAGAGAAAGCACTTTAACTCTTGATCACAAAGTGCACCAGTGGAGTTGCTGGCAGACAGCAGACTGGTATTCAAAATCTCTCCACAGGATACATGTTAACCGAGTAAAATGTGCTACTGCTAACACAGTCTGACCGTAGAACCAAATGTAATGGATGGAAGTTATTAAAAAATAAATAAATTGTGTGTATGTGTGTGTGTGTCTCTGTGTGTGGTTTTGCATAGTTTAATGTGTCTGCCTCTGCAGAGTGTCAGTGCACAGGACTTTTTAATTTTTTTTAGATATAATTAGCATAAAATTAAATGTGAAAATGTGTGTGGAGTACCAAGTGCTCCTGCGTGCACCAACAGTATTTGTCCAGAGTTGCTGAATAAACTTGAATCTTGAATAAAATGGAATCCAATATCCAGATTTTTCCCAAAATGCACAGTTATTATTGAAATCCAAATCTCTGAGTTAAATGAACTTGATGTGTGTTTACAGTCCAGTGCCACGCAGACTGCCTGTCGTGCTCGGGAACGTCTGATCACTGTGACAGCTGCAGGGACCCACAGGCCTTACTTCATCTCGGCCGCTGCCTGTCCGTCTGTCCAGTGGGCTTCTACGCCGAAGGACGAGTATGTGCAGGTAGGACTCGCTTTCAAATCTACAGTACTGTTTCCATCCATAAAAGGGTAAGTAGCACCCAGGTGCTGCTAATCAATGTGCTTGTTTAAGTGATCATCAGCGAGCGTGAACGTCATCACTAAAAGCAGACGTTTGGGCCGTTTGCTGGAATCCTGAAAGCGACATTAGTTTAAGTACAGGATGATAAATATTATTGATTTCTGATTAGCTTTAAGTGTCACATTTTTGGTCACTTAGCTTGTATCAGTGGTGCGCTGCACACAGTCACAGTCATCATTTCTGTGTGTTTGTTATCACTGTTTAAGTTTCTTCTTCTTTTATTTTGTTTTACTTTGTGCATGTGGGCGAATATAAAGTTGTGAGTCTGAACTCACATTGTTGATAAGATTATCTCTCCCACTCGTTTTCCTTCTTCCTCTCAGACTTCTTTTAATCTTTCTGGGAATCTTTTTTTCCTTTAGCTTTTTATATTTCTACTTCCTCTTCTTCTTCCTTTTCCTCTTCTTCTACTTATGTGTGTCTGTGTGGGTGGCTGTGGTGGTTTCAAAAGGATTTAGCTGCTTTTTATTCTATAATGTTGAGATTTCCTATTAAAAACAACAGAAACCTCCACATTGCTTTGTTTCCCTTCTTCTCGTTGCTCTTGTTTCATTGTGCCGCTCACAGATACATGGTCTTAATGCATGTTTAATCACCCAGGTAAGGAAATCCCAAAAAGTTGATCTTTTCGTGGTATAGGTACACTTCACTGCACAAAATAACTGTCAGTGCTAAAGTTAAAGATGTTAAGGAGCTTGAAGTCTTTAATAAGACCATTTTTAGAAAATCATGGCGTAGCCTAATATAGTTATCTCAACAGTACTTTTGCATAGTCTTAGAAGACCCCAGCCAGCCTGTCAGGGAAGTCACTCACTGGATTTAATGAGTTACTTGGTTTCCTTTTAATGAGCTGCACATCCATTTTCCTTTGCTTTCCACTACAGCAGCGAGGACTAAAATGTGACAAGCAGTCTTGCAACTCACGTGTGAAGTGAAAATTTATTTTGGAAGTGACTGACAGCCACTGGTTCCCCTTTCTCCCGTCTCTCCCCTGCAGCCTGCCAATCATCCTGTGCCACCTGTTCCAGCAGGTGGGATTGTCAGTCCTGCGGCTCCAGGCTGCCCCTGCTGAACCCCGATAGGAGTCAGTGCCTGGCTTCCTGTCCACCTGGTTCCTATCAGCACGACCCAACACACTGTCGCTGTGAGTATCACAGGAGTTCATGTGCCCTATAGCGGCTTCTGGATTGCGGTGGTCAGCATGTTGCTTTGACTGGGATCCACCCGTGAACACCAAGAGAGATGGATTTCCCCAGCTGCTAATAGCGAGCAGTTTAACAGTAAGATGCAGTTGGTGTTTTTGGTGCCTGAGATAAACTGTCTGGGAGTATTTTCCACTGGATTGAGTCTGAATATTTCATAGACTGATGAGGCAGGGAGTTCTCTCTAGGGCTGTTGTGTTATTGCAGTTGTGGCTAAGAGTCTGGAAAGAGGTGCAAGTCATTGTCTGGAGGCACAGGAGCACCAAATGTACTCACATATTGTACAGACATAATAGGTCCTGCATTTTATTAGATATCTGCTGATCTTTTGCTGCACATTGGCTAAATCTCCCCTGGGGATTGGATAGAAAAGTTTGTAAAGTTTTGCAGTCTTTAGATAAAAGTACAAAATGTGCTTCCACTCGTATATATTTCTTCCTGTATTTGCTCCTTTCCTTTCTGTTAGTCATCAAAAGAACATGAAGAAAACTGAATCGTGTATGAACATTTATTAGGAAGTGAAATTACTTGAAAATCGTTGCATCTTAGGCTTTAAACTTTTATTGTAATATCAACCCGGTAAAATCTGAATGTGTTGAATTATGCTGCACATGCTGCCTCCTGTCAATCAGTTAACACACATAAAAGAAAAATAGTAATAACAGCCAAAAAACATGTTAAAACACAACAGTCTTCAGTTCCAAAGTTAATTTCCAGTGGTGCATGAGAAAAACTGCACAAAAATGAAGCATAGGACACAACTTTACACATTTGCTCAGTGTTCATTTCCCAGTTTCATTGTGCCAGACTTGACGTTTCAAATGTTTTGCCTGCATCAACCTTCATGTGTGTCATCCCCACCTGGTGAACCATCCCACCTTCAGATGAAAACACCTGAACGGCGACATGGAAACAACTAAACAAACCAATTTCATTTCACAAAAAAAAAAAGAACTGCACACGTAAAATTGTGAACTCTTTTGAATTTCTGTGAAGCAGAAAAAGTATTTGACCACAAGTTGGGAAAATTAACTGAAGTCTTCTTAAAGCAACAACTTCAAGCAGATATTTCGTGTTGCAGTTCGTGAAACCTCCACAGTGCTTATGCAGTACCTTTGGATAAGTTGTCCTGGTTTGCTGTTGGTTTGATGTTGTTGCTGCTTTGAACTCCTGTACACAGGTGGGCTTTGTTGATGGAAAGAAATTTCTGCAGGTGTTTTGCTGCTCTTTGTGTGCTCTTTTTCACATTTTTGATAAGGGCCTCCCTCCGAGAAACAGTAACAGGACTCCAGAATACCTTCAAATTGTAGAAAGTCTGTCTCACGCTGATCTTAGAAATGCTTCTCCTGCCATCTCCATGCATCTCTAAACTATTCTGAAAGCTGTCAAGATCAAGACGTGGTCTTTCTAAAGAAGACTGACTAGCTAAATGATAAATGCATTTATTTATAGGGTAGGGGCGGCACTACTACTCCCAGTCTCACCTAAATAATGGGAATGCGTGACTTTGTGTGGATTTGAAAAAGCTGTTGTTAGAGGGAACATACTTACTCACGAACTGCGAAGGGAAATGTATTGCTGTTAATTATGAGTAATGACGCTCATTCCAAAGGTCAATAAACTTTTCAGCCCAATTAATACAAATGTCAGAAAAAAACTGATACCGATTCCAACCTGTGACAAGAAAACATTAAGTTTGTGTTTTCTTGCTTATAAACTTCGTGACTTCTTGCCAGCACGGAGATGCTTTGTAGAGTTGTTAAACTAAATTACTCCAGCTTTTAATGCCTGAGTTTTAATGGACTTAAAGCTTTTAATGCTAAATTGCTTTTAAAGTCAAAATTAGGTTCTGAATAAACTGGTAACAGAAAAGCTTTTGTCTGTTTTTCTTTTGTTATTCTTAAAGAGTTTATGCAGGATAGATGGATCGATCCTCTGCAGCAGCAGCATAAAGAATACAAATAAACTGGTATTACTCAGGCTCAGTTCTCTATACATGAGTGTCCCTATTAACTGTTACTGGACGTATCTATCTCAAAGGTCTCCCAACATTTCTAGTCCTGGGCCAATAAATAAAACCATGGCTCGGTGAGCGAAAACCCTGTGGGATTGCTAATACGCTCCGAAATGAGCTCCTCTATTGAGTGGAGGAGACCTGCGGGGACTCCTGGGGATGATGGGTAGAAATAGAGAGGTGTGGGTTAGTGAGCAGAGAGTAACCACAATGTGATTACGGTCTTCAGTTGTGCAGCTCGATTTCATACCTTAATGAATATTGTCAGGAGGATTTCAGACCTCCCAGTGCAAAAGCTCGTTGAACATCCTTAAATAGGTTAGACAGCAGCAGGCAGCTTTGTTTTACGCTGCTTCCACACGCGTACTGTATACAGTAGCAGCTATTGGACAAGCCCTCTGTGGGAATTGCACTACATGCATTTATGCAGCTCCTGTCCTGCGTCGTTGCCATTAGGTGTATAATTTGTAATTCGTGCATTAATCCAGAGTCTACAGTATGTTAATGCTGCAGGTATGTTCACAGCTGCTAATGTCTTTACCCTGCATGCATCCAGGTTTAATAATGTGCTCGAATACTCTCGAGTGTCTCAGCCATTTCTTTTAACCGCCAACTTGCTTTAATGACAGAAGCCCCCCCCCCCTCCCCCTTTGTTTTTACCCAGCACACAGTTTTGTTTTGGAGAACAAAAGAGCGCCAGTGGAAAGTGGGACGCTGAATTATTGTGACTTTAAATCAGTGAATGCCTGCATTAAAGCTATTAAGGTGGATTTAGGCTGACTGAAGTCTCATACCAGCACTTGTTTAATGAGGAAAAAATAGAAGGAAGGGTTGAGGGAAGAAGCAGAGGAGATGGGAGCTGACAGAAGTAATGAGCGTGTGAGGTGTCTGGAAGGTGCCAGAGACATTTCTTGGCAGGAAGTCGAGACCACCCAGGACTCAGTGTGTCGCAGCAGGCCTCCCTGGGGGGATTTTTTTCCCCACCTCCAGTCAGTTACTGAAAGCTTCATCCGCATGCATTCAAAGTTTTGGTGTAAATACTCGTGAGGAGCCTTGTGCTGACGCTATCGTACAACACCTGCCCCACATTTCTTCTTTTTTCTTATAATTGCACCGTGAGACTCAGTCACACTTGTAATGTTCACTTGTTTGGAAACGTACGCCGAGACCGAAAAACAGACACATCTGTCTTGTTCAGGTGCAGAGTACACAAAACCTGATTTCTTTCTCCCCATGGGTTTTTAACACTGTTTTGCGCTCCCTTTAAATTCCTCCTTTATTGCATTGTTTTGAACCTGAATGAGCTCTTCATCAAGTACAACAAAACTGTGTAATAAAGCAAGAATTTTAAGAGGAGCCGATAACAGGGTTACAAGTCCCAGCGGAGATAAAATCATAACGACATACAGCACTTCTGCAGATGCAATTACAGGAGGTCTCATTCCAAAGCATCAAAACACCATTAGCCTCTAAAGTCACATCTAAAGTTAGAGTCTGGATAAGTTTAAGAGTTAATCAGTGTGTTGCTTTACACCTTTTATTGTGCAGAAAGGGCTATTTCCAGATAATGTAGCACCCACTAGAAAAGCTCCTGGTTCAATCCGAGCACCATCGAGGAGAAGCTGTCTCTTCACTTCAACTAGACAGACATTCATTTGGCATTTAGGGCTCAAATTCTGAGCATTTCACAAAATCATTCATCAAATTAATGATTAAAGGTCTGAATCTTAAAGGTCGATGTAGGCAGTACCTCATATGTAAACTAGAGATGGCACGATACCACTTTTTTATGTCCGATACCGATATCATAAATTTGGATATCTGCCGATACCGATATGAATCCGATATAATGTTTTTTAATCAACAAAACTGTTTTTTTTAAATATCTTGCTGCATTTTGTATAAGTTCATACTCAAGTTTAAAACAACAACTACACTAAAGCTATTCTGTTATACCTGTATACAAAAAAAATATTTCATAGTTCAGCAATACTGATCAATCTAATAAACTCAAACCTACACCATCCTCCCTATTCTGGTATTTTAAAGAGTACTTAGCATAAATATTAAGCAACCTAACTAATAGGGTTCCAACTCCCAGCAACAACAAAAATAAATAAATAAAAAATAGGGAACCACCCCTCACGCTCCACCTCATGATGCTTAATCGACGTAATCAACCTTAATTTGATGCAGTGTGGAAAAAATGCACAGAAATCAATTCTTTTTCAAGAAATATTAAATAGATTCAACATCTTTCTTCAACAGAATTGCAGACTGCACAGATGGTACCTTCCCAAAGGAAAAAGTACTATAGCTTACTAGGGTATATATATTAGACTTAATAGTTACTATATACAGTAATGGACTTCTATTCATTTTACATCAAATTAAAACTTTGGGTGTCAGATAATTATTTATTAAAAGCTCGACATTTTAAATGAGAATAAGAAAGAAAAGTATGTCTTTGTGCCCCCTTTTCCCTGTTAATGCCCTATCGGCCCCCCTGGCTAAACTTTGCTAGATCCGCCCCTGCACAGTTACCAGCGTCAGCTACGTAGAAAAAGATCCTGGAGTAGAAAGTAATATAAAATAAATTCTAACAACAGCTGATCAAGCTTAAACGTGCTGCTGTTGTTCAGCCGCTGGTTTCCTCTTTCTGGTGCAAAGTGGGCCAAAAGCAAACTAGAGACACGGACTCGTGACAGAAAAGCCGATCAGCTGATCATTAAGCAGTTTCATGATTGAAGTAGCAGCAGGAGAGGCAGTCGCTTGTTAAGCTTAACGCAGGAATGCTTTACAAACATTCAGAGATGGACTTACACACTTGCTTTACTTCTCTCGGGAAAACTTTGTCGGAGATGAAATGCCAGGTTGCTAGTGAAGCTCCACATGCTATCCAGACCACCGACAGGTCCCGCATGCCAC